TCGGCAGGCCGACAAAGCAAGCGGCGGCTCGGAGTGGGCAGCGGGCGCAGGCCGACAGTGGTGATGGGACGCGACTGCGATGCGACGTGAATGCGACTGATTGATGTGACATCTGGGTCAATTTGGGTTGACCCGCGGTTTTCTGGGTCAACCCAAATCCGACCCATTTTTCAAACGAGTTAGAAATCCGAACCCGGACCTGACCCGTTTCACTATCAGGTTGACATAAACCCAAATTTTTCCTAGTCAAATTTCGGGTCGTGTCAATTTTTGACACCCCTACTAACAAGAGTTTTGACACACTATACAAATTTCATAAGATGTCACATAAAAATGTTAAATTAAGCAAAGACAAATATATATTTGTTAGAACCAATAGCATAAATCAAGAACTATATGCTCATGAGTAAACTAATTATGTATGACATGAGATCATACAACAACAAAATTTCATAAGATGTCACATAAAAATGTTAAATTAAGCAAAGACAAATATATATTTGTTAGAACCAATAGCATAAATCAAGAACTATATGCTCATGAGTAAACTAATTATGTATGTGCAAATGTCTAGTTAAAAAAAAATTAAGATAGTCCAAAATTTGTAGGATTAGGCTTAAATAGGAATGAAGATGGCACTGATGCTCCTTCCATGGTTGCGAGGTTAAGTGAAGTATCTATAGATTCAAGTGTATGTTTTCAAGAGCATATTTTTGTAGCTTGATTGCATAGGAAGCATCATAGCTTAGAACCAACAATAGAAGCATGGGGAGGGGAAAACAATATAGATCAAACCAACAGTGCACTTGGTATTACTATAGGGAAAGTAAGAACAAATAAAAATAGAACTAAAATAAAAAGCATAAAATAGTTAAACAAAAACCCAAATTTAACCTTCTTCTAAGAAAGAAACAATATCTTAGAGACGTAACCCCAATTCCAAGAGAGATTATTAGGTGCGGAGTGCGGACGGGGAGAACCGTCCGCACAAGCCTTATTCTACGCTAGGTACCGGCACTCGATACCGCTGGGTACCGCTAGGTACCCATGTTTGTGCGAACGGTGCACACTCCGCACCTAATAATTTTTCCAACTCCAGAGAGTGGAGAGATTGAGAGACAAATATTTCCATTGGTCAAACAAAACCAAGATTGCTATGCATAATAAAAACCTTGGATTCCTAAAACACTTTTTTTTAAGTATTGAAGAGTCATTTGGCCTCATTTGGCCAACTTCCCTTAAATTTATAGTGTCTAAGCTTATAGGCTACAAGGAGCTTCATTTTTATTGCCAAACCAATAGAAAAGAGGGAAATATATTAGTGTAGCATA